CATAAGTATAAATAGATACAAGCATAAATAAATGTAGGAATAAAAACATGAATGAATAAATATGTTTCAGTGTTTTCAGGGAGATTCAGCGTGTCTGCTGTGGCTCAGCAGGAAAGCAGTTGACTCACGACCGTAGGATCCCTGGTTCAACGACTCGTCATTAAGTATTTTTTGCTGTTTATAAAAGCTACAGCTAAATTAGATAATGTAGTTAATAAATGTATTCTTTGATATGGTTTAGCCTTTCTCAGGCTACAACATGGTTAAGTTTATGAATAGTAGTAAGGAATACAAATCCCTATTTGCAATGTTTACCAGCTTCCTTTGGCTTTTCAATCACAATCAACTGGAATAAAAACAATATTGTTAACATGAACATGTGATTTAATGTTCGTTGTTTAGAGTTATTCTAAGGCTTTACTCATTGGGAACTCGGTATGAGAGAGCACACTGTTCAGATGCCAATCTGCCTGTTTTACACACTTTGACCAACAGGGGGTTTGTGTTCAAATCAAATGAAGTCCATGATGAAGTCTCATGAGATGAACCCTTTTGCGAACCAATTGGCTGGAAAGCTTCAAAGCTTCATAAGGCTTCATCTCGCCATCACTAGTCAGTGGTATCAGTTGTGTAAATGCAGGGTGAGGATTGCATGGACATGTATGAGTGTGAGAGTGTCGAAGTGCACAAAGTGAAGCAACTGCGAAAACTCATAACATACTCAACCGAAACCAGGTGCCTGTAGGGGAAAGCAGAGGGCAGACAGAGAGGAGCAGAGGCTTTAAATACCTGCAGGGCACCAGACCCAGGTGCCCTGAGTTACTGCAATCAAGGCAATCAAGACAGCACAGCCACACCCTCTCTAGATGAACCCACAGGGGCATCACATCCGGATTGATGTTTTTTTACATTTTTTAAGTATGTTTGAATATACTTGGGTTTGGGGATTGTTGGTTGGATTGAAATTGTAATATTAAGTCACTTTTGACTTTATAAGTGATTTTCACAGACATTTAGACAAATCTTAAAAATAATTAAAAATAATAAATAATCAGCACGTTGATCAAGAATAAGACACATTATTAGTTGCAGGTCTAATAGAGTGAAAGTAATTAAAAAAGTACTAAAATAGCTGCTATAAGTGATATGAGGTAGATTTTTCTAATAAGGTAAACATTTTTTTAGGTCAGAATGTAATCGCTGAGTCGTTATTGTGAGTTTCACTTCCCGCTCAAACTTGCTGCTGTCAAGCTTTAAAAAGGCAATGAAGTGTTAACTCATGATGCTGTTATTTAGGAACTGATGATGAAAAAATACTACAGAGCTTGTTAATGCATTTTCTGAAAGATAAAAAAAAAGGTTTTTGTGTCTGGAGCTGAGTTACATAGCACTAAGAGCGAGGTGAAGATTTCTCAAGAGAGTGGATAAACAGTTATATCACTCAATAACAGGACGGGATTGTCTGAAGCAGCTGATCTGAGGTCATCACAACAATAAACACTGAGATTGATGCTGTATGAACATTATCACTACAGTTTCATCTCATTGAATTTCCCATTCCGAATCACTGCTTAACATCTGATCTGAGAGATGTGTCAACTACCTAAAACGGCTTACTGCTTCTGAACACAATGTGTTACTCAGCACATAGCAGGCAAACACTGGAGACATACACCAAGTGTCATCACTCATTTAGCCTCAAACATACTAATCACAATTTCTTCAAATTGCATGAACAACTCCAACATTTAAATATATCCACTTAAACATCACAATTATTTGATTATGCAGATGATGCCATTTATTTTCTGACTTTCAAAGTTGTTTTCTCATTTGTCTTACTTTGTTTTAAACAGTTGGACCCAGTTGTGCTGGAGATGCATATGTCTGTATTAGGATTCGTCCTGATTTATCCCTGAAGAATACTGTTTATCAGATTTACTATCATTGATTTTAAGATGTCACTGCTACCCCTTATAAAGCACAGTGGAAACCCTTATATTAACACTGTTGTAAATTCTACTTCCAAGAAACACTTTCATAGATTTTTTCTCCCATTTCTTTATTATGTTATCCTTTAATTTCAATGGATGTTTTTGCTGGACGGTTTTATTTTTGTTGTTGTATTTTCTGTGTATTTGAGGGCAATTTGTAGAAAAAGAATTCAAATGTTTGATACAAATAAAGTCTATTTGTATTATTAAATGTTAGTATTTACTCTGCCAAAATGATGTTGTTGTTGTTGTAGCAATGTTGTATGCATGCCATAGCATATTTGACCATGTGACCCATGGCTGTGATTGTGCAGCTATGTTTGTGTCATCGCTCATGAGATAAACAGCCCAACTATCTGAAACAATGATTGTATTATGCAATATAAACTGTCTTTGTTATTTGTTGGCATGCTTTTGCGGTTTACTATCTTTGTCTGGACCCCAGAAAGCTGATGCTCTTAGTCAGGTAATGAAAATCAAAAAAATCCTAATGTCTGTTTTGTGCCAAGTATCAGACATACACAGATACACAGAAACTCATGTTACACAGGTCAGTGAGTATTAACACAAGACCACATCCCTGAACATGCTAGGTAAGTGTTGACTGCAGCATAGTTTAGTTATAACTGATGTTTACTACTTTTATTACAATTACTATTTCGTGAAATACATCTTACCTTGTGAGGGTTTTCAAAGCATTGACAATCGATTAAGGCAGCCTGAACGTTACAGAAAATGAAACATACAATGTATCATGTCCATTTTGCCATAATCTCAGCCGGCGAGACAACAACTGAACCGTGTTGCTGTTTTTCCCCACTGGCAGTCACATGACGAGGCAGCCCGGATCTATAAAACAGTGGACTGGCTAGCTACACCTGTATTATCAGTGTTCACAGCAGAGCCCTTATGCTCTATAGATCTGTTGTACGGATGTGACGTAAGGGCACATGACGAACAGTTTGCACGCCCTCTCTCGAGCTTCCTTAGCTTGTACAATTAATAAAAAACGAAAAACATAAATATTTAAACGTATTTTAACAGGTGGACAGTTTAATTTATTCCAACAAAAAGTGTATCTACAAAACAAGTCAATGAAAAACGTGTTTCCGGCAGCCGTTTTAATGTGTTGTTATGGCAACGAACCCACCTCCTGTATGTTGTAAACTCACAAACATACAGCAGCTTAGAGTTATACACCTGTCGCCCATTTTTAGACATCTGTAAAATACACAGCTATCCTCGCACCCATGGCCCACTACAGAGTAAGCATCCGGTTTCTTTCTATAGCTGGTATTTGTTTCTGCTCGCTAAATAAATGCTGTAGTTGCTCGTGTGAAGAGTGTGCTAACTAGTTAGCATGGTGAAGCAGTTAACTGCCCTCAGCCGGAGTCTGAAAGTTATTTATCCACAATTGTTTTCTTAATGGATAAACCAGTCAGACGTGTGTTGTTAACCTTCAGTGAGTCAAAGAGTTTGTGATAGTCAAATATTAATCTTGTTTTTCAGGCCCCGGAATCGAAGAGAGAACAGTTTAGAAGATATCTTGAAAAATCCGGTGTCCTTGACAGTATAACAAGCGGTGGGTATAAAAGCTATTCATATCCAGTATTGTAGCATTTAGGGGACAATGGGATGGTTATAAAACCTTTGACCAAGAGGGTCCATCCTGCATGGGAAATGTCAAAGCTGTGTGAAAAAAGGTGCCTATCTACCACCAAAATACTGCTTTTCAGCTGTGAAAGTGATGTTTAAGAACACATTTATATTTAAACTAAGTGCTGATATGGATTTTAAATTATGTAACTATTAGATTAGAATGTATTTTAGGTAAACAGTTAGATTAAGATACGCTATAGGGTATATATACATAAAGTAGGCCTATACTTTATTATTCTAAAAAAAATTGAAATGTCAGCACCAGGTTTATTTATTAAGGGCAAATACAAACAGAGCTCTTCGTTTAGGACTAAGTTATACAAAAAAAGTTTCAGAAACAGCTCAATAATGTGGATGTGGAAGTCATTCTTAAAGGAAGGCAAAAGTGAGGAGTGAATCCTTTGTATTCTTGGGGAATTTTTGGTGTGGTCTCATCACTTTTCTTTATTCTTAATCCTTAATTTGAAAGCTTACCCCTGTAATGGGGCGGGTTACAACAATGGCCCACTTTAGTCATTATGTGATTGATTTGGTAAGACAGGTAACATTGCTAATTGTAGCTCCCACACAAGGAATCCTGAAGTAAGGCACTGAACCAAGAAGTGTTTACCCAACCATCCACTGTCTCCTGTACATTTGCAATCAGTGCATGTTGTTGCGCCTATCCATCAAGTGACATGATATCTCTGTTGTGCTTCTTCATCACTGTTTTGTTTCTCTTTTTTCAGTATTAGTGGCACTTTATGAAGAGGCCGACAAACCTGACAATGCACTGGAGTATCCTTTTCTCATGTGTGCAGCTTTACAGAGCCATTGGGGTTTACAAGGCTAATTTACACTAGCAGCAACCCTCAGACGCGCGTGCACACACCCTTTGACACTGCAGCTCACAATCACTTGTCCCCCGTGCCAAATTCCAGCCTCCTAGGACGAAAACTGTGGTTCCAAAGGAAGCTGTAAAGCTACTAATCACAACTTAAAAACAAGTGTTGGTGTATCAAAATTGATTACCCTGCCCAACCCCAATACAAAAAGGGATAGTGTGTTTTTATGAGAAAATAATGTTAAGAGAAACATAGCATTTCAGTCTCTTCACATATGGACGTGGTACATTGAACACAAATGTATTGAATAAGAATACCCAGTCTATAATTCATGTAAAGCTGAGATATTTGGTCCTATTGTACTTGGGTCTACATGGCAACACAAGTGACTGACTTAAAACACTATCTTTGCTTTCACATGCCACATTTTCTCCATTCATTAAATGCAATGGGAAATCTTCTTGAGAGCATACATTTCCTAACAAGACATTTTTTATGGCACGTCACTCAATGATTAAACAAACATAAATTTAGTTTAGTGTGCTTAGAGATTTTTTGACTCAAGCCTGGTCTAAGGTGTTAGGCTGACTGGACAATTGCTGTGGAAGATATCAGCCAGTCGTTATAAAGCCCAGTATTTCCCCTCTGTTTAAAATGTCAATACAGCTAGAGAGATAAACAGCCATTCAGCTGGTTTTAAAAATCTCTAATTTAGGCAGCTTTTGTCAGATAATTGTGTCATTGGGAATCAGATAAACATTGATTTTCTTTATGTATAGAAAACCAAAGTGTGAAACCACTGCTAGATAATTGAACCCAGCAAGACTGCAGTTTAGCACCATGCTTTAGGTTAATGTACCTTAGTTAGTTGCGTTGATTCCTGGAGAAATCATAATTTTTCTTCACATAATGGCTTTACAGAGAGCGCATGTTGACCTTAACCAGCTGCACAGCTTCATAAAGCTTCACCTCGGAGCGGCCAGTCCAGAGCCGGCCGATGTTGAGACTCTTCGCATGGAGCTGGCTGACCTACAACAGAAATGCAACCTTCTCATGGGGGAGAATAAAGAGCTGAGAAACAGGGTGAGATGCAAGTCTAAATAAAAAAATAACCAGAGCTGCTTGTGCCTTAACGTGTCCTCTAACCCCTGTCTTAATCTCATTTCCAGTTGATGCAGTACGAACCATCGCCAGAAGAGAGAGCAGCAGAGTAGCTGGAGGGGCTTTGTCATGTACAAAATGGAAGGAAATGTTAAGCATTCTTTTTGAAGAATGTGTAAATGTTTATTAAATAATAATGGATGAACCATGAATATAACTTCACTGCTGTTGTTTAACAAGAAGCAACTTATCCTTTGTCATAAATAAAAATGTTTCTTTTACAGAATATGATATCAGCCATTCCCTTGAATTCATACAGTATCTCTATTTACAACCAAAGGATTCTGCTTACATCACACATCCATTAATCTGAAATAAATACATAATAAAAAAGACAACTCTTTTGGAAGGTCTTTTCATTTTTTTTTTAAATATGTTAATGATATTAGAATGCTTTGCTAAGAAAAAAGGGGTCATACAAAATATGTAAGTCAGAGGTCGCAATTTATGTGTGAAGGGAAATCTGAGACTGCCAAGGCACACNTACACCCTGCAGCTTTTTAACCAAAACAGCAGAACACATGGCTGGAGCATGGAGCAGTGTCCGTTGCTGGAACCTGAGGTGAAGCCTCGTTTTTCATCACATGCTCCAGCCATGTGTTCTGCTGTTTTGGTTAAAAAGCTGCAGGGTGTAGGATTGGTTTGTGCCGACTTGGATGTGGGTTCTGGTTTTGAGCCGTTCATAACGGAAGCCGTTGTAACAGTAGTCGGTAGTGACAAGTATGTTCCGATTAAGGTGTTGCGTGACACAGCAGCTAGATTCTCATTTATTGTTGAGTCAGTGTTGCCTTTTTCGTCAGAGACAGAGACGGTGGATTTTTTGCTGATGAGGGGCATGGAGATGGGCTTGATTCCTGTGCGACGTCATACAATATTGCTGGATTGTGAGCTGGTGCAGGGAGTTGTGTCTGATTTTGGGCAACAATCTCGCTGGTAGTGCTGTGTGGGCAGGTGTGCCACCGCCTGTGGTGGTTTCCAGGCCGTTGGCATCTGGGGAGCAAGATGAGAGCGGTTTGCAATTTCCAAGTGTGTGCTGTTTCCAGTTTGTGCTGTTTCCAGTTTGTGCTGTTTCGCGCGCACAGAGCTGTAGGATGTCTACTGACCCGCCTGTTTCGGAGTGTAGAAAAAGTGGTGTTGAACAGGTGTTCTCACTGCCTGATCTCCCTTCGTCTGTGTCAAAGGAGGAGGAAGACAAGGAGACTCTTCTTCCTTCATAGATCCTGGATATATTCGAGGAGGGTCTTGCTCAACTTGTTCAGGACCCTTTACTCTGTGATCTGCAGATGGAGAGATTATGCCCATAGTTGTGGTACAAAATGCATCCGTCTTGGATCTGAAGAAGGCCATTCGCAGATTCATGGAGCTGAAACAACAACGTGAAGGCGGAGTGAAACAAGTCAGCTGGGGATATGTTTGGAGATCTTTTCTGTTAGTATTTCAAGGGGAAAGGCTTGACGAGGACAAGATGAGGCTTAAGGACTATCGGATCAGAAACATGAACGAAGTGACATTTATCAAAAGACACGTGAAAAAAGTCCATACTGGATACACACGATGGTCAATATTACACAGGAGGATGTTGGTTTGTCGTGGATCCCTTTGGGGCCCCGTCTTAAGGGGGGGGGGCTGTGATGCCCCTTTGGGTTCATCTAGATAGGGTGTGGCTATGCTGTCTTGATTACCTTGATTGCAGTAACTGAGGGCACCTGGNCCTTTCAAGTTGTGTGTTCGAACCGGAAACAGGCGGGGAAACGATCGTATAATAAAGCTAACTTTACTCGTCTAGCGGGGTGACCCGAATATTGATTTATGTGTCCGGTGGACGCTGTGTTTTTGATCGGACCTCCGTAAACAGTTGTGAAGAGCCGTAGTCGAGGAGGGCAGAAGCAACAAGCTTCAGGTTCAATAACCAACTTTAGCTTAAATGACTGGAGAGAGGCGAGCTCTTCTTGGGAGGCCGTTGCATTTATTTAGCTGTTCTTCTGTTTCTTTTAAATGGCACTTCATATGAAAAAGGTTGCTGACCCCTGCCCTATAGGCACCTGGTTTTGGTTGAGTATGTTATGGGTTTTCTCAGTTGCTTCACTTTGTGCACTTCAACACTCTCACACTCATACATGTCCATGCAATCCTCACCCTGCATTTACACTACTGATACCACTGACATCCACACCTCATGCTTCATTTGTTTTGCACTTAATTAATTTGGCTAATTTGAACTTCTTGCTTTAATAAACATCTTTTGTTCAATCGTTGATATGGTGTGTCCCCTTTGTTGTGGCCTTTTGAGCTAGGTCATAACAAGGGTAAAAATAAGTGATGCAGCACACGCAATATCAGTAAAATAAAGCATGTTTTGAACATTAAAGCATGTAAACATTTCACAGTAGAAGCAAAACTTCAAATAAGAAGTCTGAAAATGGGCGTCATAGGGCCCCTTTAAGCTTTTACACTTGTTTAATATCTCAAAGCAGGGTTAGCTCCCAGATTTCAGCATTCTCTTTCTGCAGAGACCACCTGCGGATGTCACACAAGCTTAGCTGAAAATTCACTCACCAAAATGCAACAAGAGTAAGGAACTAAAAACACAAAAGTCCCTGAATCACCTTGTCCATTTCGGCTAAATTTCACCTACATTTTTTGGGAAAAAACATATAGGCAGATTAATTAAACTTGTTTTGTCCATAAGCAAAAAAAGAATAATACTGAAAACAAATTAATATAAGGAAAAATAAGTGTTGCCTGGCTCTGATGGTTGATCCCATGAGTTCTCTTTGGCAGTTCATGTTAAAGTACAAAAAACAGGATGCAGGAAGAATTTCTTTATATTGAATGGTGCACACAACCATGAAAAAACATTCCTCTCCATTTTCAGGCTAAAATAATATTATAAATGTATTGACTGGTGTTTATATTCTTTATGCTGAGGTTTACATTAATAAAATAAATTCACCTGAAGACTTAGTGCCTTAGGTTTTCTATGGTTGTCAGCACCATTTAATATTAAACAAAACGTCCTGGATCCTGTTAAAAAAAGGAAAATGATGTAACATTTGACCACCTTAGGCTTTATATTTAATCCACCGCCAAAGCTGCTGCAACCTGTGCTTGTTGCAGATTTTCAGCTGCTTTCAGGATATTCAGCAGGCTCACAACAGCCACAGGAGTGTTGTGGAGGTTATTCTGTAATACCGGGTCGAGAGAAAACTCCCATCAGGCATAAAAAGAACATGAGAATAGTCTCGGACTCATTGCTTTATAAACGGCATAAAGAAGCCTCCATTCTCCCTGGGAGGTGAAGGACTTGCTGGGTTTAAACATAAATTCATAAAAGATTGGATTCAGAGGAGATATCTCAATGGTTTCGGGAGACTGGGGTAGATGAGAACAAAGTGCTCTCGGATGTGTAGTAGACGCAAAGCTGGTGAATATAAACCAGCTGGATACATCTGAGCCTCGCCACCACTGATCTCTAGCTGCTAAGTCAATCTAAAAGTCAAACACATTGACTCCACACTCTTAAATACTAATATAGCAGATGCCCTGTTCTGCAGCTATTCCCCACACTGCATCCACAGTGTGTTTTGCACGCGTCTGTGCACGTGCCTATTCCGTTTAAATAAAGCACAAATCACTGCGTTCACAGGTGTGGCCGTCACTGCCTGTTAACGTGTTCTTGTTTATAAAAAGACCTGGTAGAACGCTTTAGCCGAGGAGACACTACTCTCATCAAGATGTCTGGCAGTGCTGTGCAGGGACCACACCGAGCCTGGACCAAAGCCACTGAGAAGGAAGAAGCTATAAATCACTGTTCAGTCAGGCCAGGGACAGATGTAGACATATACAGTCCCCGTCTGCTGTCACTGAACTCCCCTCATAACTGCCTACAGCTTTACATACACGCGAAACACACATGTGCGTTACATTCACACACGTATTGGAGCCTGCGGTCAACAAGGATCCAACACCGTCAACTGGGTCTGAATACAAAAAAAGTGGTTTATGGGCCTAATTCAGACGTCAAGGGCATTGTATTTTTGATTTACGGAGACCCTGTGGCCCGATTGTGATGTATTGCAGAGGCGCGGGATTTTACATTGTGATGAATACAGTTGGATGCGAGACCAGATAAATTCTGAAGACACTTTAGGGGATGCTGTATGCCAGGCGTTCAGCCTCAAAGGTTGCCAAGGAGAAGCCAAACCATTACTTTAAAAAATATAATTTTTTATAATGTATTCTTCCACAAGCCACGTCATACAATCCCACATTTTTGAAAAAGGGCTAAGAGGGAGGACAAATTTTTTTTTACATCGTGGTGTAATATAAAGGAAGAAAATAATAAGTCCACCTGGAGGATATTTGAATTGAAAAAGGTACCAGAAAAACTGGATTTCTAAAGGCCAGCTGGGGTTTCTATTCCAATGCACGTGGCATGGCAATATGTAACAGGCGCACTATATATAGAAAGAATAATAAGTCTGCAACTTGCCAATTGATCGTCAGTCTTTCCGCTTCCATATCACCTCTCCTGCCACTTTTTTATTTCTCCACACTCCCCTTTCCTCTCCCTCTCCATCAGCACTGCAAATGTGTTGGTATGCATGATGTTTTGAGCGGGCACAGGAGGTGATGGAAGAACCTTGATGTGTTATGCGCCTGAGAGATAGAACAGTGAATGCACATCATAAATCCAAATAACTAAACAGTCCTATCTGAAAAGGTATACATGCAGAAAGAATGTTAAACGCATGAGTGGCACTGATTGTGCAGCACTGAAATGTGTATCATAAATCAAACATCACAGGTTTAAGTGAGGTTAAGCGGACTGGAAGCACCCACTTCTTCTGATATATGTGCTTTGGAATGAATCGATGCTTATAGTCCGCTTATGTGGCGGAAGGCTTGCCGTCAGAAGGAGATGATAATACGTGCATACAGTTTACCATCATAATACAAGGTAATCTTCTTAAGGCCAGCTGATCTGCAGACAAAGGGAGACTTGCAAGGGACAAGCAAAGCCACTGTACCTTATCCTCATCATCCCCCCACAACAAGACAAACAAAAAATGAAGACACATGTACTGTAAGCATCTGGACATACTGTAGCAGGTAATGTGCAGCAATTTGAGACACCAGCCGACCTTAACCCCGAACACAATCTCCCTATTCATCTACAGACTGTGTAAATCCCCTTGGGGGCTTGGTAGAGAGTCTGTGGACCTACATCTGGCCTCATATGATTGGGCCAGGAAGCTCTCAGATCTATTACACAATGGTGTCACATCTCTGCCACATCTCAGCATCACATGCATCATGATGGCAAACTGAAGGGCAGTTAACAGATTTCAACTTAGTTTTAAAAAATAATAGTGTAGTGCAGGTGACATTGTCCCTGTGGAAGTTTGTAAATATTTGAAGATTGTGCAACTCGCAATTGAGTCCCTTTGCCAATGTGAGAACTAATGTGCCTTTATCGACCGGGAAGTAAGAATGTGGAGGGTACAGCAGCGGACCAGAATGCAAATATGACTTACACAAACTCGGTAGGCCAATGTTCTAGGGGTTCCTGTTTAGCCAGTTGAATGTTTATAGTTATTTACTGTTTAATTTGCACTTTGAATTGCGAGAAATTAGTTGGAGTTACAAAATAATGGCTCTGAATATGAATGCAGAGGGCTTCTGAGATTGCATTTCGGCCAGAGTGTTCCCCCTTATCAACTTTTGCTTAATACCACTTGAAATACAAACATAAACACGAATGGTTCTTACCAAAACTGTGACCCATTCCCTACAGATATTGCATTCATATGCAGACATCTGTTTATATAGATTTCCTTAACCTTTACTGAGTTTTGCTCTATTTTTTTAATCATCATTTGGCCCATGCATCAAAGTAATGATTAATGTTGTATAGAATAGAATAGACTCGGAGGGATGAACCCCTCTTTAATGGTCACACATGCAGAGCTCACAGCACAAACAGACGTTACCTGTAAGCTAACTATAATTGATTGACTTTGAATGACTAAAACATTTGTCTTATTTTCTCTTTAAATCCATTTGTTGCTGCAACCGCAATCTTTCCACGGCCTTAACCATACTAGCTACTGAAAAACAACTGTTATTGAATATTATGTGGGGTTTTTCACACTCAACCATAATGGACGTTCTTGCCTGGTGATGGAGCTTTGAATACCGATATGGAGATTGTGGTGTGAGCCCCCTTTACGCCAGTAAAGGTATGCAGAGTATTTAGTATTTGATTGTCATTAAAAAGGCATTGTGACCTAGCACACAATGAACCAGGTCAGCATCCTTTTGTCAAAGACTGCGAGGTGAAAGGTCTTCTCTGATCCCTTTTGATCCTTGGCATTAGTAGCAATATTCAACAGCACATAGACAACCCATCTGTCTGTCTACATGGTCCTCACCACCCTCCATCTCTATCCCAACAGACACACACACATACACACACACACACACACACACACACACACACACACACACACATACACACACATTTCCAGCCTAGATTAAAGCTGCCAAAGACCTATATCACTACATAATCCTTTGTTTGAAAGAATTTTAGCATCTCAAATCACAATAGTGTCAACATCATCGCCCGGATGGCATTTTGTGAAAAGAATAAAAAAGATTTTATCAGTTTTATTCAACAGAGAACATTTCATTTAGATGGTTGTGGCGGAAATAAGATAACATATATGAATGAGGTCTTTATTGTCAGAGGATTAGCTCGGAGGTGAGTGTACATTCATAGTGACATTAAGAGGAACATGAAGAAGAGCGTTTGACTCAGATGGGCCAACAGCTACATAACAGTCATGAATCTGAGGAAGGCATGAATTAAGCTGAATGGATGAAAGAAGTCTGGAATTATCGCATAGTCATACACCAGGAGGCACACACGCACACTCCATTAGGGTTTGACAGAGGGCACTGCCACAAAAAAAGACCCTGGAAATCTCACATTAATCCTGACTCACCCTTCTAGCCCTGCACACTAAGGGACACACACACACACACACACACACACACACACACACACACACACACACACACACACACACACACACACACACACACACACACACACACACACACACACTAGTGGATGCCCTATCACCTCACCATGGCGACACATGGATTTCTTTGGAAGCCATGGAAAATTATAACACCCCTACCTCACCTCTACTCACACACTGTAATGTGCTGGTGGTATATCCAATTGAGCCAAGGTGTGTGTTGAAAAGCTCACAGTCCAGGCCATTCACTGCGAGCAAGTTAGTTACTTTTCTAGTGGGAAACTAGAAAAAAACAACTGAAGATAAAGAATGATGATAATTTATCAAAAATACGCCAACAAAAATGGCTTACTGGAGAGATAAAGATTCTGGGACTGCTTTTGGGAGGGGCAGCCATTGAAATTATCTGGCAAATTCAATTAACAGCAAGAGTCTCGGTTGTTTCAACAAGTCCTCAAATGCAGAGCCGGCCTGACCCATTAAGATAAGCGGCCGCTTAGGGCCCCGCAGCCACTAAGGGGCCCCCTAGCAACAAAAACAAATCTCGGTACACCGTCACCGTGATAAGTATGTTTAATTAATTGTGTTAATATGCCTAGATTGCCAACTCTCAAAGTCATGTATTATATTATTGAGTCTATAATATAATACATTAAACCGTGCTTTACCTTAACCTCATTATGACACTAGAGAGGACGGCAGGATTGTAATTTCCCGTGTTCAGTGAATGCAACAGAGGCAAGACATCAGACCAACCTGAGAGTTGAATGGAAATAAACATCTGTCTAAGTTGTGGCTCACACAACAACCCCAGAGCCACCACTTGAGCCAGGTAAACAAGGTATGTNTTGCAGCAGTCTGCATAGATTTGGTACCCCTGCTGGTCTAAGAGTGAGACAAACTCATTCAGTTAAAATTCATTCAATTATGTCTGCCACCTTATATATTTATATTAGGGATGCACCGAATATTCGGCCACCGAAAATTATCGGCCGAAAATAGTTAAAAGAAAGCCGAAAGGGTTCGAGCACCGAAAAAATATCACCGAATGTCAGAGAACAGGGTTACTTGGTAAGCTAACGTGTTGTTGTGATGACGTAATCAAAACGCGGCGACAAGCACGGCGCGCGACCATGCTCGCGGCTGGCTCACAGCCAACATGTCTGCGCTTGGAGATATTTAAAAATATCAGAGAAAGAGGCGCGGATTGCGATTTGTAAAACGTGTTCAGCTGACATTTCTCGAGGGGGTGTAACTGCAAAGACTTTCACCACTTCGGGATTACTCCACCACTTGAAATCAAAACACCCGGACAAATATGCGGAGTAAGATCAAATCACAAGCACTGACAGGGAGACTGTTCAGCGCTGCCTCTCATGTGCTTGATGAAAGAGGAACAGACTTATGGCTGATAAAGCAGAGAAGCTACTGTTCATTAAAAAGAACCTCCCACTTTTCCTTAATAAGTAGACAAGGCTGGCTTATCATAAGCTTATCTAGTTCTACATGTCTACTCTATACCCACTTTCTCGAACAATTTTCATTGTGAGTTATAATTCACCATCTCAGGTTATCATTAGGGGGAAATGACAGCAGCACAGTGTTCAATATATTGTACTTTCGGTATCTAAATGATACAATGTTGTTTACATTGCTCATGAGGACAGACCCCCTTATTTGCAGATTCTTGAAATTGTAATTTAATTTGTAATTGATTGTGGATTTTGTATCCAGTTTTCACTTTATGTATCTTTATACAATGTTTACTACTTTGCTTATGAGGACAGACAGCCTTATTTACAGATTCTTGAAATTCAATTGTAATTTCATTTGTAAATAGTTACATTCATGTGGATTTATCCAGTTTGCACATTTGTATGCATGCACTTATAGGTGCATTTGTTGTTGTTGAAGGCCTGGCTGTTACAGTCTTTATTTACACTATCTTGTTGTAGGCCTACTGGCCTAGATGTTTATGTAGTTTTAAAGTACCTTGGCTTTGTTCTGAATGCACTTTGTTTTAGTTATCCAACAGAGAAAAGAAAATGCACTTGACTTGGAATTAATGTACTGTATGCATTCAAAAGTGCTGAATAAATGTTTTATGGACCCATAATAGTGATTATTATTTAAGTTAAGTTAAGTTTTGCCATAATCAGGCAGCTGAACAACATTGGTAAAAAATGTATACATTATATATAATATTATATATATATTTCTATTAATCATTTTCGGCCTTTCGGCATTCGGTTTTCGGCCAACTGTTTTCTATTTTCGGTATCGGTTTCGGCCAAGAATTTCCCATTCGGTGCACCCCTAGTTGAGAGATGTATCCATAGAAATCTTCATTTAGCTCTCCAAGTGCACCAGATTGATGCTTTTAACTTCAATATTTAAAAAAAAAATCTTCCCAGGGGAGCATGCCCCCAGACCCCCCTAGAGGAGGTTAGGTCCACGGTGTTTACATGGTTATTTATACAATATGTGTCCTTATGCTAACATCATAAGACAAAAGTTGGTTCCGTGTTGAGTGTAGTGAGAACGCACGCGGGGGGGGCCCAAGCCAAAGCTCGCTTAGGGCCCCCATAAGTCTAGGTCCGGCCCAGCTCAAATGTATACGACCAAATAGGTTGATTCTTCCGACCCTCTAATACGACCAACCGAGTCGTTTCTTGTAAGCGAACAGTCTCCCCATGTCACGTGATCGTGAACTTTCCGAAGTGAAAACTAAAAAACATGGCGGACACTTACCTCAGGTGGTTGCTAGTAACGCAGCTCTCGTTTACTGTCTATTGATTTAGTGATATTGTACATCCATGGATATATGCAATACTCAACTAATAAACAACAGTTTGTCTTTGTTAAAACCCCCAGCGGGATTATCTCTGCAACGGGGAAGGCATAGGATTCACTTTCAACTGCATCGTATAGCTCAGCGCCACACCTCCGTAACACATGGTGCTGCTTATTTTTACCTTTTTCATGCGATTTGTCATCTATTCTAGAAAAATAATGTTTTTTTCCGGGAGTTCAAGAAGCGTACAAGCCGTGCTTCCAGGGTTGTGAGAGCTGCGTCACCTTAGGTACTATTTATACGCAGAGAACATAAATAATCTCCGTAATATCTATTAAACTATAGACCTTACATATCCACAGGACGTAGATTCTGAAAGTAAAATATACAATTCTCGCTAGACATATAATCAAAAAGCATTATGAAGGCCAAATTATCCTACAATTTCAGATTTTCCACTGAAAAAAGCAGACTGTCCTCAAAGGTCACATGATTATGATCCGCCTGAGACAGCTGCATGCACAACAACCTACAAAACACATTACAGGAAGAGGGGAAAACCCTAAAAAGAAAATATGGACCCTATAAAACTAAAGCACACTGAAGGTTTTAAGGGTTATATCAATATTATATTCCACACATCGTAGCTGGTGTGACGTGAACTTTAAAATTAATCATGTTATTATTAGTTACCGTACATTGTTTTCTTTAATCAATGTTTATTTAATTCTGACAGAAAACAACATTTTCTGAGCCATATTTTAGATTGATCCCACATTGGTTATAGAAACTCTTTCAAAAGGCTCCTGCTCATCTCAGGCATGTCGATACCTCCCTGTGAGAGATGGTTTTGATTCGGTAACCTTGTGTAAAAAATATGTTATCTGCTTTGCACCAAACCCCAGGCTGTTTTAATAGCAGTTAGATATCTCACATTTTTGATTGTATTACATGACGCACTAAAACAGCGGGGAATGTGAATTATAGGATGCCAAAGGATGGGAAGGGATGACATGTAAATTGGAAAAATAAACAACTAAAATACAACCTGTAAGGCATGCAGAGACATTTACATACAGTAATCACATGAAGTGTTATTAGGGGGGGGGACATATACAGTGTGGAATTGTTTGAGTTACAGTATACAGCTAAATGGATTACTGTGGATTTACTGCATACAGTATATTATTTACATAGGAAATACAAATCAATGGGCCTCATGCAGGTAGTGACATACTGTATACAAATATATTTCCTCTGATTTTGTTCGTGCCCAAGCTTTGTTCTTATTATATTATTGATTTATGTGATTCACCAATGTCTTACAGCCCACTCTCTTCAGTCTACATACAAATGACACGACTTTGCAAAGGCGTGCAATAGATACGCAGAAGTCCGATTTTGCGTGCATATGATACTCCCACGTTACGTTTGTTATGAACGTATCTTAAATGCGTTTATTTTCTACATATCTTTGCCCTTTATTTAACCATAACCCAATAAGCTGCTGTGTCGTTTATTGCACCGCAAACATTAAAACTGTCATTGGAACGGTGATCAAGCCTGAAGCCACAGAGCTCTTTATTTTAATGTTTGAGGTGCAATATCAGCGTATCATATGCACGAAAAATTTGACTTCTGCGTATCTATTGCACGCCTTTGCAAATTCGTGTCATTTGTACGCAGACTGTGAGACCGGGTTGCTTATTTTTGCCATTCTCTTATAACAGTCAAAATTGTGGTCCAAAGCACTCTTTGATGGATCTGTTAGTTATTTTCCAATTACATATACAGTAAGAAGCACTTCCTTATTCTCTAAATCCATTATTTAGTTCTACCTTATAATGATTAATACCATAACAATGAAATCCATAATGCTTTGCAAAACGATTGTTTTGTGTGGTGGTACAGACTGTTTCAGAGGCTTTGAATGGACTCAGCAGATCACATTTTAAGGAGTTTTATCCACCGACAGAAGAATAAATTGAAAAAGGCATTCAAGGAAAGATTTCTAAATATTATAAAATTGGTTTCAAAGAAATACAATTGTTGTTCTTTTTGCCAATTGAAATGCCACTTTTAGCTGTTGTATAAGCCTGTATGTTCTCATAATCCTGTTTTAGGAGAACTAACATGTGATTTTCAATCAATCCGGCACAAAGGGCTTACACAAATGTGTGAAACCAGGTCATGTGTCTATAAGCAGGGATAAAATAGCAGATACAAACAAATACAAATTGGCCTTCGTCTTCCATTATCAGCACTCCTGATGACTCCCGCGAGTCTCGGCGGCTCATACACTCAGAGGTTGATGTCATGAACCGTTTAAACTGAAGCTGCACAGAGACCCATCAGCGTGTTAAATGTGTGCTGGGAACAGATTTAGAAGATTTAGGGTAATGGAATAATCACTGTGAAGGAGCACGGTGGAGCGGAGTCATGCGAGACTAGTTGTGGCGACCTTGAATTTCGTCAATACAATCAACTGAGTCTATCTCTCACAAAACAACACATGGCGTGTTGCCTTTCACACAAGTTCAAATCAAACCCAATCCCTCTTCTGATTACAATGCATAGATTTTATACCAGACAGAGGTGAATAAAGACAATAACAGTGACGGAGCTTGGAAAATGTAGACAAAGATCAAAAGGAGCACTGTGAGTTAATGTGTTGTAAAGGAAGAAAAAAAGCGTTTAAATCGGCTCGATTCCACAGCCCTTATCTCCGCGAGAGATATGTTAACCTTTGAAGTCCTTTTACAGTCATTATGAGCAGAGCTGAGACATGTTCCACACATGATTAGCTGATATTAGGTGTCCCTAGGGCCATGTGCATAGTGCAGTGCATACATACACGGCTGTTTTGGCCATGTCATTTTGTAGATGTGTATCTGTGATGGAAGCTGTCTGAGTGGTATGTCATTGTGTTGTCACTGAGGAGTCGATAGAGCCGCTGGGAGCGACAGAGACACGCAGGAGTGGGGGGGCAAAAGCGTGTGGGTGGCCATGGAGGTGAAAAGGTCAGCTCAGTGTTGTCCTCACCCACTGGTCCTAATAGAGTATCTGTTTTTCTCAATCAACAGGGACTGTGTAGGAGTGACTGGAGGGCAGCTTTACCACTCAAAGACAGACACACACACACACACACCCCCACACACACCCACACCCACACCCACACACACACACACACACACACACACACACACACACACACACACACACACACCTTCTCTCCAACACTAATTTCATGCTTTCACCATCTTTCCTTGTTGCTTGTTTTCCACCTCTGTCTCCCCCGCCCCTCCTACTCTCTACTTCTCGGAGTTGGATTTGTGATCTAAGATCAGTGTGGCCGTAATGCCCTTCTCAGTAGACTGACAGATGATACAGCCTGCCCTTTGGGCTCCAGTCGAAATGGCTACAGATCAATACCCGAGCTGGTTGCCTGTCAGCATTCACACAAACATGTATGCTCCCTTACAGAACGCACACACAAGGCATCCAAGTGCAAAAGCTAGCATCAAAGCTTATCTGAGCCGGCTGGCATTTACCGGTACAGGACCTGGATGTGAGCAACACAGCATGAGGGGACATTCCCGGGATAGTTCCCGGCCTGGAGGGGCAGCGGGGTTGGAGGATGACGCAGCTAGAGGAATTCTGCTTACAGATTCCCCTGACCCTGCCGGCTGGTTAAATTAAGCGCTTTGGATGGACAGACTGGCTGACTGGGCAGACAAAGCAACAGGTTGAAGGAACAATCAAAAGGTTGGAGTGTCTGTAAGGAGTGTGTGTGGCAACTTAAACCCTGTAGGAATAGTGTGTGTGTGTTGTCATTTATGAGTGACACCTTATTCTGTGGTGCTAATTGTGGTTTTGGTGAGGCTTCATTAGCATTCAACATAACTGTGCATTTGGCTAATTTCCTTTTCTTTTTTTTCTATATCAAGGAAATAAGTAGAAAATATGTAAAATGATTGAAAAAAAGACTAATAACGCTGCGGATATTCATTGATTACTGGTATAAGTTAACTTCTTGCCTTTTTACATAATATGATGTGGTTATTTAACACCTGGACTGAATAAAAGGTTAGGATGGATTCTTTTTTTTCAATAGACTTCTGATGAGTTCCTCAACATCAGACTCCACTCAGGCACACAGGCGAAGTAATTACTTTCCTGGGTGGAGGAATTAGAAATCTCTCTCACTCCCAAACATCATTCTCTAGCGCTTTATTAGAAAACGCCAATGACATACAAATGTTGTGAACACTTTAGAGGCATCCTTAAGAGACCGTTACTCATATTTATGGTTTTATTCTTCATTTATATTCATTCAGAGAGCAGATCATCATATTGCATTGTTACGAGACAACCAATTCATACACCATACATGCAAGCACACATGCAAATAGTTGCATACAAAATGCAACAATGTTTACAATACAATCCTTTGTAGAGAAACCAATTTCATGTCAAATGGAGGCTCTTGGGTACCCAAACTGAATTGTTCATCCATTCTAAATATACAGTGCTTCTCTCTGCAGGCTCACACAATCTTGTAAATAAATGACCTATGTAAATAAACTTTCTCTAAGATGGAGCCTGTATTGCCATCATTCCGTTGTGTATTGCATCACTGATCACTCCCCATGAATAAAAATGACAGATGTACAATATAAATAATACAACCACATATTTGACACTCAGAATTACAATGACAGCCCCCACACTCAACGTGTCTGCCACCTCCCTCTCTCGCCAAGCAGGCGGTAATTTATTGCCCCTCCGCCATTGCAGAGTCAATCAATAGCCAATTAAAGACAGACACATAAGTTCTCCAGTGGCCACCACCATCGCTGTTTGGCCAGGGAAATGAATATGTAAATGTTTCTCTGGCGGAAAGCATCAGTCAGTATCTTTCAGCGAGCACAACAGGAGGGATATCAATAACACCCACCACACGCCCCTACACCTCCAAGTACTAGTCTGCAAGGCCACTAATGGTCAGAGAGGCCCTAAGGATCTGTTACCCGAGGCTGGAAGGTTGAGAAACCTACAAGTGTGCCCTTGTCCGTCAATATGAGTTAATGATATATGCCAGATGAAGGGCAGCAAGGCCATAATTATTGATGTAAAGAAAAGGAACACTTTATTAAACCTTTTTATTTATGCAAATTGTTTCACTCGGTTTTTTTTTTACACAAAAATATGTATATGTATTTATTGAGAGATGTTAGATTGAGAGACCGCACATGGATAGGCGCCTGGAGCAGTTGGGTTGTTGGTGCCTTGCTGAAGGCAGTATCCCGGGGGTTACCACTCCACAACCCTGAACCGACGGAGGTCCTGTTCCTATCGAAGTCCCCACTAACTGAGCTACTGACGCCCAGCAAGCAACATATACACTGCTGAACAGCCAGGTTGCCAAATGCTCTGTTGTCGTTTTTTAGCCCTAATTGCACATTTAATCACACTGAGCACTAACCTCACAGGCGTCATGGTCCCTCTCTTTCTCAATCAGTCTTTTTCTGCTTCACAGAAACTCTTTAAAACCTTCCAAGGTGAGAAAGAGGACCATCGGGAAACAACTGGTTCAGTCAATCCCTGACAATCTTAAGGAGATGTGAAAATAGCCACAGTATGGAGATATCAAAGTCAGAGCCAAAACACAATAGCTTCCCTGCTGCTGTGCAAACATGCAAAACATTGTGGCTACTTTGCATTATATTGTGTTGCTATGTCATTAATATGCTTTGATATGCAATTCAATTAAATACAAATGATGATAAACATAATTACTTGTTAATCCTGTATGTACAATATACATCTTAATTAAAGCTTAGGATGAAATGAGATCCACAGTATTGCACATTTATTTAAAAATATGTTCAGGATGTCTGTTATGTGCTGCCAATACTATAATTAATGCAGCGAAACAAAAACAAAGATGGCCCCATTAACAGTATATTGATTCTTCAAGGAGAAAATCACTTTATTTTCAAAAAGGACTAATTAAATGAGGCTATACTTAAAACCATTAAAGTGTTAGTGGAGTGCTGGTGCATTAAGAAAGCACTGTACTGAAGTAGCATTTGGTGTGCCTCACGCCCCTCATTTATCTGATTAGCTGTGAACAAATAATAACGAACACAAAGAGTTCATTCTGTACGGTCAGCACGTTTACTTCGGATATAGACTATTAAGTGGTAACACTTCTGTACTTTTGTTTAATTGAGTACACTTATGAAAGCAGAGCACCTTCTATCTTTATGTTGTGCTATTTTGTTTTTATAAACCAATTATTTCCGAACAGAGGTACTTGTAACCCAGATGGGGACAGGAAGTGAGTTTGCATGACGCCATTGCAGAGTGAAATAACTAGTATGAACACATTTTTGATTTAATTGAAAGCAGTTAAAGTGACAGCTGTTACACCTGAACATGTGAAACTGCGCAGAGGAGTTTAAATAGTGAGAAAAAAGCATAAAATAAATGGTTAGCTAGAAAGTAATCGTTGTTAACAAAAAGTTAGAGTTGAAATAGTTAGCAAATTACATACTGATGCCTCTTTCAATGGAAACTCCTCTAGAAACAGTGAAACATGTATTGAGGGCCAGAGCAGCACATATAGTAATCAACCGTGCCGAATGTAAAGCGTTGCAGTGTAAGAGATGCACTGTAGACGTGAGAGCGTGATGTGCAACACACAAAACCTTGACCCTTTCAGTCCTAACCCCCTGTGAATAATCACGTTCCTTGGAACTTTCCACCTCCATACGGGGCCTCTTGAACACTCATCCCCCTGCATGAATAGCATTGAAGCCTCTCGCTCTCTCCCCATCTCTGTCCCTCTCGCGCCACACATTCCTCTTTCTACTACCTCTGCCACCACAGGCGCCGTCCAAGAGCCTGACAGTTCAGCCCTGCTTTGATCTCAAGGCACAGGTTATCTATTGCCTTGCTAATTTTAGTTAGCCCCTTTAAGCTTCTCTTCTCTTTGAAGAGCAGGTACCATGCAGCAGGGAGTCCTGGGTGTTTATCAGTGTGGCCCCTTACACTTCCAGGGAAAAGGGATTCACCCTCACATCTACAAGGGGCTACTGGAATCTGGACAAGATTATCCACTTAGCTACATCTTAATAAAGTCCCAGAGCATAGCAATCCGAGGTGCAACAGTGTGAGATAAAGTGGTTTTCCATCAGATGGGTTTGCTTGTTGAATAAATATAAACACGTACAGTAAGGACCAATACACATGAGGATGTGGAGGAGGATTGTGTGGAATCCTGTTGGGTAATTAGAGGCAGGCAGTTTCATTTTGCTGTGATTTAAACAGATTGCCGTAGCAGATGGAGGACGGGTGTGGCAGGTACAGTCTTACCTTTCTTAGGAGGATGAGAAGTAAGAGGAGAGGCTGTCCGCACCTCAAGCTTGGGAGAACAAGAGTCTGAAAAAAAAAACAGTCAGTCAGTCATTTTCTCAAACATTTGTGTTTAAAATATTGTTATTTTCATCTCATAAAAACAGGAAGTTAAAACTTTATATCTAAACAGATCAGTTTTTTTAAATCAAACTTAAGCATCCACTGCCCATCTCATGTTTGTTTACAGCAGATACATTTATTTCTGGGCCAGCTGTTCTGAGTCTCCCTCAAGACAATATGGCCCTTCGACTCTGACCTTGCATGCTCAAACAGAAGGCCACGTAACAACACGAGCAAGAGGCAACCTGTTATAGGTGAAAGGGCGCATGTCCCACCTATGTGGCAGTCACATATGTTATTCCCTTTTCTTCATCATCCAATGCTTTTTGTGTTCAGCACACTTCTGAGATCAAACACGTGCAGGAGTACACAAAACACACGGGGCACAAAGCCGATGAAAGCTACACACAGAATATCAGAGCGCTGTTCCTGCTCTCCAGCATGAATGATGGTTCTCCAGGACCACCTTCAGATGAGAGGACCAGGAGGTGTCTGCAGGCTGATTTAGCACCTCAATCTCCTACGAGAGGGGTCACTTTTCTCACTCCAGGATGACTTACGAGGGCACAGTCGCTGCTTTAGTTTCCATTTTATTGTGAGGAATGGTGGCTAAAGTTTGCCTCTATCTGTTGCATAAGCTCAAAGAGGCCACCGCTGGTGCCAAAGGGGCTATTTCTGTATGTCAATGTCATGTTCTCTGCAAGGAGAGCAGTTTTACTTCTATATGTCTCCAATTTCTTTCACATTCCATTGAAGGTTAATCTTTCTGAGATTTGAAATGTTCATATCTATACGCAGGAAGGAGGAGCGGCTCTGGGGGGCCATGCAAAGTCAATTCAAGCCTAACATCTGAGGCTTCTGAGTTTCATTGATAGGAAGTAATAAGCACACACTGTTTCCTACTAGTCAGGTGTGAACTTCTCGATGATAGCCATGACGTCAATTGTCTTACTTTGATTTTGTCCTCATCTTTTCAGAACCTCTTTTCATGACCAACACATTTATTGTATGGAGGCAGTGACACGACTGAATGATTTGGCTTCAGGGTTTTCAATTTCAATCAAAAGATACAACGTCAAAAGACCTAAGGTGAGTGAGGAGAGTGGAAAGCATTGCGAGGCTGCTTGTGCAGGAAAAACGGGAGAAAGGAACAAAAAGAAGGTAAGCAGTGAGGGGAGAATGAGAATAGTGATTGTGTGGAAGGAGATGAGGATTGATAGATAATAAAAGGGAACAGAGGGATAGCAAGAGGACGAGAGGAAAACACAGAGGGATCAATAGAGCTGGACCACGCTAACCATTATACAGAACTAACTAGAGAGTGACACAGCAGACAAGAACAAGACAGTTGTTTCCTCCCATTAGCAGGCAGAATTAATTAGGACTCCACTATGTAGCAGGACAAATATAATTACATTACATCATGAGTCCTCATTATTACGAACTCGCTCACATCCTGTTACCCTGGGGACTGAGGACAGCCAACTGGACAGCCAACTCTAAACAGTCACCACGAAAAGAAAAAAAGACAAGATGGCTGTCAGCATTCATTTAGCACAACACTAGGAGGAAAGCATTTCCACAGTAAGTCACACTCCGGAGATAGATGTTGAATTCTGGTCGTCAGGCATCCCACAGCGGAGTTAGTAAAGTTCCTATAGCTATAAACAGAGTGTAATTTGGCTTGAGATGTAATCACTCCATATGAGCTATATTTACCATCTGTGGCCTTTTACCCTGTTTGTGTGTGTATACAGCATGTGGAGCATGTGTGTAGAAGTGAATTTGAGGCACCGTGAGGTCCCCCAGCAAACATGATGATAGCTAGTTATCTGGGGAGACATATGTGAGATTCTGCTTTACACAGTGGGCACAACGAGTCTTTTAACCGCTTTGTGGGTGTTTGCATGGTAGCATTTAAACACAATTCCTCACGATCTAACGGGAGAAAAAGGAAGACCTTGGCATTCCAACACACACACAGTCCTCTGTTGTCGCGGATGAGACGAATCAAGAATGTAAAGAAATCGAGTTTTACACTCGGAGGAACACTTAACGCTCTCAAGGTGTCATTTATTTTTCTCTCCACAATACAACAATACGTGACCTTGCAATGAAAACAAATGATAACCTTGTTTTAGTAAGAAAGCGAGCAGAGAGGCGTTGAAAAGCCGATCCTGTGCTGTGTGTGGTAATGGGGTATCATTTGTCTCATGGGAGAGAGCAGAGCCCTGCAGCTGTGGCGCACACAGAGCTCACACAGCTGTGAATGAGACGGTGTCGGCCAGCGCTGGCACACATCGGCAAGTCAGCTGACAACGACTGGCTTTCCTCTCACTGAGGGGGACAAGTGTTTATGAAACACAGCGCTGCAGGCCGGACAAGGGTCGAGAACTTGTTGTGCAGAATAGAGTGCTGCAGTGTGTCTGTAAGCTGAGCAGTTCTATCGACGAAAAGCAATGGGGGATTTTCCATTGGATTTTTGGAAATTGTAGAAAATAAGTAACAAATAACTTATTAACCCGTAATAACTCTTTATATTATACTTAAATATTTTGTTCAGCAGTTTAATCTCCTTTTTTATAACAACTTTTGGGGATGTTTTGAAGAGTTAATGCAATCGCGCATTATGGTAGCATGGCTTCACGTCAACATGGTAAAGGCCGCTGAAACTCATTTCCAGGTTTAAGGACTTATTCCTGCACCACACTATTTCTCTGGATAGTAATAGTGATCAGAATGAATCTTAGTATAAAAAAAAGTATAACACTAACCCTTTACATTCTGTAAGACATACGACAACCTCTGTACTCAGACCTTTGCAGCAGAGAGGGAAAACATGATAACGTGAATTTATACACATATATATATTTAAAAAAGATGGATCCAGGAGGATATCAAGCAGCTTCCAGATGTTGTTAACAAAAACAATAACTATAAAATATGTCTAATAAAAAGAGAGTAACAATAACAATTAGACAGTCATAAAAATAGACAATTGTCTGACAATAGCACTTCGGGGCATGTTTTTCAGGCGCCTCATTAGATTAATTTCATTCATTCTTTATGTAGCGATGCCAAAAATCCAGTTGCAAAGCATTTACTGTAATGAGTGTGAATCAGGCTGTTTAGGCTTGTTTTGTGAGCTTTGCTGTGCCTCAATGAATCATGCCATCCTCGGTTTAACACCCTGTAAGGATTATGTTCAGCTAAAAGTATGCCATCCATTCCACACCCAATCTGCTTTCCTGCACATATGGGGACACAAGGCTTAATTTGTGTTCTGTGTGCAGTTTGGTATGTAACAGTGATATTGAAGTGACAGAACATGGAATGGCTCGCATTCAGGTAAAATTAGTGTATCACTCCTTAGCTGACAGGCTATTAAATGTTTCTTTGCCAAGCCTTGAGGTTCCAACCATTGCCTCACAGCCCTGCATGTGTGAAGGTGGGAATAAGAAATCTACCGTGTGCTGCAGTTGCCATACTGCTGACTCTGCTGGGTTAACACAACCCTTCGGGTAAACCAGAAGACCATCATCATTAAAAAATAACTCATACCTTCCCCCCTCTCCCCCCTTCTCTCTATTCCTCCATAGGAAGTTTGCGCCTAACAGCTGTCCCTCCATATCTGTCTTCTCAGATCAATCTCTTCCTCATCCCTGTGCCCTCTCTTCTGCCCCTGAAAACGTTTCTCAAGCCAAACTGTTTCCCCACACAAAATGTTG